TTCTGCGGCGCTTGTGTGCGTCAACAATGCTGGCCAGGTCCATGCTTGCTACCGAGTCGGCGTGAATAAGAATGAAGTCCGAACGGATAATTTGCTTGCTATCGAGCTCGCGCATCACGTCGCCAAGCGATTGGGCATCTGGAGTGGCGATTACCGTGATCTTAGGCAACGAGTACCTAGCAGGGCTCGTCGAAAGATGCTTCTTGATCAAGTCCCAGTGACGGCTAGCGAGGATGATGATCTCCTCAACCTCAGCCAGGGCGAGGTTTTCCAGTGTCCAGTCGAGTAAAGGTACGTTGCATAGTGGGAGGAGGCATGCTGGCTTGTCAGTGGTCAAAGGGTCGAGACGTTTAGAGAAGGCATCGGCGAGGATGACAGCCTGCAATGGCTCGCGTTGAAGATCCTCTTCCTTGTTCTGCTGGGATTTAGCTTTGGACGAGGCTCCCCCGGCTTTTGCCCCTCCTTTGCCTGCTTGCTTGGACGGCATGTTGATGTGTAGCGGACGATGCCGAAACGTTGAGATTGCACAGAGGAAGCTGATGGATTCCAAGAACAAAAGCCTGGATTGTAACGGTGTATTGGACTGATGAGAGCACAGATTCTGTGGCTCAAACGCGGCCGCACGTGATGTGCTGCGAATCACTAACCTCACAATTTTTGTTTCCTTTTTCGAGATTTCTGGACGATTAGGCCGTGCTGCGCAAGAGAAATGATTGCGGCTTTCGTCGTCTGAGCAGAGGACCCTTTGAAGAAGAAGAAGCTTTTGCTATTGCCCAGCTCGAGATCAGGCACAGGCCAGCAGCTCGGAAGGACATGGCTAATTCTTCCGTCTAATCACCTCACTTCGCTACCCATCACAGCTTATTCCCTGTCACTTTCTAATTTTTCGCTCTAGGAGCATAAGGCAGCCATCATGGCGCCCAGAAAGAAGTTAGCGGCAACCGCATCAGCACCAATCAGTGCACTGGCTGCTCGTAAGGCTAAGCAGCAACAAGCTGAGGCACAGCGTTACAAAACGAAGGGAGCTACCGTCTCGACGCACGATGGAGCTGTTTCTTCGCCTCGCACTGTCAGAAGAGCTTCAGCCCGCCACACTGTGAAGTCAAATGACAATTATGAAGAAGACAGCCCAGAGGCATCAGTGTTAGAAGTCATTCTGCCACTCCCGACCGCCTCTCCGGCAGTGGCCTCGCCATCAGCAGCCAAATTGGCCTTCAAATCGTTTTCAAGAAACCGGGGCAGGCCCTCCGTCACACTCTCCCCCGAATGCATTGCAGCTGCAGCCTCATGGCCAAGGAGGGGCTCTGTGACGGCACAGAGCACACCTGTCCGCAGCATCGCAACAAAAGCCGCTTCTTCTTCGACCTCGACCCCAGCTTCATCCAGCAAAAAGCGAAAGACAACCCGAGAGACCGCCAACGACTCGGATATTGATATTCAAGACATTCTCGACGAGCTGGAAGGCGAAGAGGCAGCATCAGACGTCGATGCTTCGGAGCCAGAACAGCCGCCACGCAAGAAACGTGCCAGTCAGCCAGCAAAGGCGCGCAGCACTCCTGCCAAGTCACGAAGGTCTACCGCTGCTGAGACCGAATCTTCTGCCAAGCCAAAGCGCACCTCAGCAAAACGCACTCCTACCAAAGCTAGGGCTCCAGCGAGTACGCCGAGCAAGACAGCCAGATCGGCTTCGAACAAAGAAGCTGCATCGGAAAAGCCGAAGAGAACCAAGGCCGCACCAAATAACCCTCTCGCAAAAGTCAATGAGTCAGTCGCAGCAAAGAAGAAGAAGGCTCTCACCGAAGACGAAAAGCGACTCGAGGCTGTTAAGCGCTATTTTGCCGGCCCTTCTAGGCAGCATGAAAAGATTCACGCAGGTCCATCGGCTATGCCGATTGAGGACAAAGTGACGGGCTTCTTGCGCTTCGGCGAGGATGACAGCGACCCGGAAGAGGCGATTGATGCCACGCAGATTCACGAGGAAACGCCAGCTCAGAAAGACGGTGACAACTCTTCCGAAGACGAAGGGGAGCAGGAAATACCATCAGAGCTCACAGATGAAAGTCGCAGAGCCGTCGATTTGGCAGTTGGTCGACCTCCGACTGACCTCAAGGGAAAAGGCCGCCAGGTGGAGACTCCCCTGATGCCAAGGATCGTCCTCGATAGCGACGACGGAGAGACCGATGACGGCCAGTCTATCGCCACGGTTCTCTCTCGTGAGGCGCTTTTGGACGCCATCCCATACTCCAATTTCACGCCTGTCCTCAGTGGCGACTCGAAGAACATGCACGTAGTGGATTATAAGCGCAAACGTGCGAGAGAAGCAACTTACTTTGGTCTGCGACATGGCGAGACCCTTACCTTCCTTGGCATCGGTCGCATTCAGGTGCTTCAAGGATGCGCACAGGTTGGCGGTGCCTTCCTTTTTTCCTCCTCAGAGGCATTCAAGGCCGCAGACATTTACGCTCCGATCTCTAATGCTCTCCCCGTACTCAAGAGCATCTCAGATTTGCAATTTTCCGGTCAAGAAAGGGCTGCAAATAAAGACCATGATGCACGGCATGGAGATGATAACGACATTGCAATGTCGTTCGGCGCATTCGACACCGTTGTCAAAGTTACACCGCTGTCGTCACCAGTCATTGCCCTTGGTCAGGTCTGTCCGATTGGTGGTTTATCTACGCCCTTTTCAATGCCACCAAACCTGGAGGTCGCGGATATTCATCAGCTCTCGACCGTCAAAATCCTCATCGCCCCCGATGTGGAAGCGCTAGCTCGCAAGCCAGGGAAGATTCTCGCAAACGGCATGTTTTCCACCGCGGGCCTCAGCGCAACTTACATACCACACAAATGGCAAATGCAGCTGGACCGCCTTGCAACTGCAGCAAGGGCTGCTGCTATGCATCCTCAAGAAGAGTCGATTGTGGCGCTCGTTCGTGGCACTAAGAAGGTCGGAAAGAGCACATTCAGCCGTATGGCACTTGAGAGGCTCCTCTCAGTCGGCACCTACAAAGGCGGGAAAGTCGCTTACCTTGAACTCGATGTGGGGCAGAGTGACTTTGGACCTCCCGGAATGGTTGCTTTGCACATTTTCAGTCCCCGTGACAAAGTCCGACCCAACGCGCAGACGAACAAGGATGGAGAGGACGAAGCTATCGAACAGGCAAACATCGATCAAGTCTCAAGTGGCAATGAAACCGACTCCAAGGATGACGCTTTGTCCCAAGATGATGGGATTATTACCCTCGGTCCAGGCTGGTGTCAACACCGCGTACCAGCACGAGCGCACTTCATCGGCGACAGTTCACCAAAGGACGACCCAGAAAGCTATGTCGCCGCTATCTACGACCTTATGGTGCATTTCCGCCATCACATTCAGCCTGGGTCAGAAACATCATCTAATGGCATAGGGAAAGAGCGCGTGCCGTTGGTGATCAACACTATGGGTTGGATCAAGGGTCTTGGAGCCGAACTGGCAGCTAGGTTGGAACCGATTTTGAGACCGACGCATATTATTGACGTGGTGCCAAGAGGAGGCGGCGAGCAGGTGGCGGGGATCATTAGGGGAGCGCCATGGCTGGACGAGGAGGGGCGAATCCTGGCTGCAGGGCCGGAGATCGTCACCCTTGAGAGCGTGTCTTCGGTGGAGTTTGGACAAGGTTTTGGAGCCACCGCTACATCTCTTGCTCAACATGCACCTTCGCTCTATGGGAGTTTGCAGGAAACAGAGGAAAAAGCCCGACTCGGCGATGGAGGTTCCAACCCTCCTCGATACATCACCGATGTAGGCTCAAAGATGGGCCCCGCCGAGGCGCGACTGCTCAACACCATGTCTTATCTCTATGCCACCTCTCTCGCTCCATCCTCAAGCGCAAACGGGCACAAGGTGCAAGGCACATGGGACTTTACCGAGCCGCTCGTACACCGCAAACCATGCATCTTGGACGTGGCAGACGTTCTCAAAGGAGGAATCAGTGTTTTGGCACAAGGGTCTTCTGTGCCGGACAGCTACAAGCTCATGGCTATTGATTCAAGCATTGTGGCAATTGTTGTTGCGGATCCAGTTGAACCCACCATCAATGACGATTGGAGCATTGCAGAATCAAAGGAGGTCAAATGGAAACGGGTCTTCAACGCAGGCAGACAGCTCCTTGTGCATCGCACAAGCTGTGTGGGGTTGGGTATTGTCCGTGCAATTGACCCGGACAATCTCAAGCTTCACCTGCTCACGCCTATTGATCCAGCAATATTGGTTGGGAAGCAACATGTAGGCTTGGTCAAGGGTGGTCTTGAACTTCCTGTTTGGGCATCATTGGACTTTGAAGCCATCAAGGAAGCACGTGAATCTCGACTCCATGTGCCACCTCTTGATGCACTGGAATCTTTGGAGAACGGAGGGGGAATGGCTGGGTTCCTGGCAGGTGTGCCAAGGAACCAAGTGCCTTACCTTGGATGGCCTAACTATGGACCAGTCCACCTAGGCCTTGAAAAGAAAAAGGTAAGACGCAATCTGATGCGGAAAAGTCAATTCACCTGAAGCTGAATCCATGGTATACCTCTGCATTGTGTAGTATGGTAGCTGATGGTAACCAGAGCAGCTGTGGATAGAAGCAATGTGTTGGGATGATTCAGTGTGTCAAAGTCAAAGTGTGGTCAAGAGACAATGGCATGGATGTGGCATTATTGATTGCAGCACAAGCAAGGCTGTGTCAGGTCAATGCCAGCAATGTGACGCGAGACTAAAGCTTAGAGATTTGGCTCAAAAAAGCCATGTTTCATGAGCTAAAATGGGTCCAATTTGACTCATGCTAGGTCCGTGAGTGAAAGTCAAAAAGCTAAAATGTAATTATAGATAAATTCGGCTCACAAAAAAAGTTAAATTTGGTTGGCCCAAAACCTCCCTAGTTTAAGGAGCAAAAACATCAAGAGGTTAAAGTGGTTGCAAGAATACATGATGTCGCCGGCGGAGCCCTAGTAATTCATAAAGTAAGAAAGCTAAAAAATGACCAGCCTGGGGCTCGAACCCAGAATCTCCTGATTACCGCAACTCCTGTTGGAGAGTGTCGTAGTCAGACGCCTTACCATTGGGCCAACCGGCCGAAGATGTCAATATTGAGGTGATATAGTAAACATATATCAATGAGGTAATTATAAATCACAAACAGGCAATAAGTTATAGAGTTTAAGACCTTCCAGGTGAAATCCAATTTTGTGATTGCTTTATCTGCTGGTGCCAAGAACAAATCTGTCAGTGCCAAGCTTCTGATGCTTTGCTGGTTGACTTTGATGTTCAAAGCGCCTCCATCTGGGTGCATCAAGATTTTTGTTGTCTATTGAATGCTTGGCCCTCTTTGAGTCTTGCAGCCCACCATTGTTTAATATGCACTGTCATGCATGTTGAATTTGCACACACTTGCCTCAGAACCCAGGCACAAATAGAGGGCTTTCCAAATAAATACTGTCTGTCATCTCAAATCCATTGCCACAAATTATTGTTTTTGCTTGCCTCAACAGGCACATGTGCACTCAATTCAAGAAGCAATACTACAAGCAACTAGTACTCTGTAATTGATGACCAACCATGTTGCCAAAAGATCTGGTCACTTTCAATTGTGTTCTTTGTCACAAGACACTTGCCTTGACAAACAACACTTGTACTTGCAAGAGTCATGTTCCCAAAAGCAGTTACTACAACTACAACATTATGTTTGGCCTAATCAGGCAGCAGAGAAACCAGATCACATCCTCCAAGACTGCAATCAAAGCTGTACAATCATCTTCTCTACAACGCAAAAGCATTGAACAAAAATTTGACCACCCTGTAAGAAAGTTAAAAAATGACCAGCCTGGGGCTCGAACCCAGAATCTCCTGATTACAGCAATCCTGTGCAAGAATATCGTAGTCAGACGCCTTACCATTGGGCCAACCGGCCAACTGCATTTCGGTATGGTTGGTACGTCAATAAGAATATATAAGTAAGGTTTGTGAGATTTGTCTCCCCCGTACAAAGCCGACTGGAAGAAATGGAGGAGATGGTGTGGCTCGAAAAAAAGCCGTGACTCGCACACTACAGGACTGTGCTTCATGCTCGTTGAGGGACGCCGAATTGGAAGCGTCCGGTGGCTCAGCGAGGACAGATGTCTTCAACATACCTTTTTCACTTCTGGTCCTGCTTTTCTGCTCTAACATCACACAGTCTCTCACCTCTATACTCTCCTCTACAAAACCCGCCAAGATGACCTCCACCGCAGCCTCGATCCTCAAGAATGCCTCGTCCAAGGTCCTCCGTCTGGGCATGATGCCAGCCGACGGTATCGGTCGTGAAGTCCTCCCCTGTGCTCAACGAGTTTTGCAGAACACTCCCGGTGTGCCCAAGTTTGAATTCATCCACCTCGATGCGGGATTCGAGCACTTCCAAAAGACAGGCTCGGCTCTCCCCGAGCAGACGATTCAGGCACTCAAGAACGACTGCCACGGTGCCATGTTTGGTTCAGTCTCTAGCCCGAGTCACAAGGTCGAAGGATACAGCTCGCCCATCGTCAAGCTGAGGAAGGAGCTCGATCTGTATGCCAACATCAGGCCTGTGGTTGGTGTTAGGGGTACAAAGGATGATGAAAAGTTCATCGACAGTGTTATTATTAGGGAGAATACCGAATGCTTGGTAGGTTGACTCATTTCCTTCCACCCGCCCATGCCTCTTTTGGCACTTGTGCTGATCATACTTTGACTTGTCTGTGCTGAGCAAATAACAGTACATCAAGAGCGAGACCAGCGAACAAACTCCCAACGGCACTGTAGCAAAGGCAATCCGTCAGATCACCGAACATGCCTCCACCCGTATCGGAAAGAAGGCATTCGAAGTCGCTCTCTCCCGCCAAGAGCTGCGTCGAACCGCCCAACCTTCCTACACCCCCACGGTCACCATCTGCCACAAATCCAACGTCCTCTCCGTCACCGATGGTCTCTTCCGTACGTCGGTACGCTCAATCTACGAGTCCGATGCCAAGTCCGCCGGTGGCCCCGGTCGCTACGAGGGTGTTAAGCTCAACGAACAACTCGTCGACTCGATGGTTTACCGACTTTTCCGCGAGCCCGAGGTATTCGACGTCGTCGTTGCACCCAACCTCTATGGTGACATTGTTTCCGATGCTGCAGCGGCATTGGTCGGATCCTTGGGTTTGGTACCTAGTGTGAATGCAGGTGATAACTTCTTCATGGGAGAACCGGTACACGGCAGCGCACCAGACATTGCAGGCCAGGGTAAAGCAAACCCCATCGCTTCCATCAGGAGTGCCGCACTCATGCTCGAATACATGGGTTACACTGAACCAGCCCTCAAGATCTACACGGCCGTAGATAGCGTCATCAGGGAAGGCAAACACTTGACTCCTGACCTTGGCGGTAGCGCTACTACTACTCAGTGCGAGGAGGCCATCCTTAAAAAGATTCAGGCCTAGACGCGATCAAAACGTTTTCCCCGAACATACACCTTCCCTGTTCGAAAGCATCTCTCTTTTTGACCATGAAATCTTTTTGTGTCTCGTCCGTCAGCCGTAAGGACTGAATCAGAAAAGCCCTTAGACCAGACGAGTCGTCTGCTTAATCTCGTTCCCCGACAAGCCACAGATCTTGACTCAAACGAAAGCATTAGAAGTGGATCGTGAGACAATCTTGCAAAGAGAATGAGTGTGATTACAAGTAGAGACAGAGACACTTCACAAGATGCTAGACAGGAGGAGCAAGTCAGATTTTTTATCTACAAACGAACGAAACTTGTCGCCGAGATCCGATCTACTTTCGGATGGCGTAAGCGGTGTCGCGATCGGAACCAGCCTGGCCTCGCTCCTGAAGACCCAGACCGTATCGGCGAAGACGGATGGCCTGAACGGTGATGAAACCGCTGGTAGCAGCCGAGTCGAAACCACCCTGCTCGTCCATCGAGGTGAACTTCTCATCGTATAGGAGCTCCTCGGAGCTTCGGCCCTCAATGATGACATTACCCTTGTAAAGGGCGAGTTTGACCTGACCATTGACGGTCTTCTGGGACTGGGGGATGCACGAGCGGACAAACTCGCATTCGGGCGAGAAGAAGAAACCGTAGTACAACTGCTCAGAGAATTTCTGGGTGATGACCTGGTCTCGAATTCGGCGCACCTCCCTGTCGAGGGTGAGACCTTCAAGGTCAAGGTGGGCGGCGCGGAGGATGGTGGCACCAGGGGACTCATAGCATCCACGAGACTTGACACCGATGAAACGGTTCTCGACAATGTCGATTCGGCCAATACCGTTGGCACGAGCCAAAGCGTTGAGGGTAAGGAAGACGTCAACGGGGTCAGTGTGCTCCTTGCCGGTGGAAAGAACCTTGACCTTGGATGGAAGACCCTGCTTGAACTCAATCACAATGCGCTCAGGAGTGTCAGGAGCACTTTCGGGCGACTTGGTGAGCTTCCACATGTCAGCAGGAGGAGTGGTGTTGGGGTCTTCGAGAATACCGGCCTCGTAAGAAATGTGGAAAAGGTTCTCGTCGGTGGACCAGGGCTTAGCCTTGGTCTGGGTGACGGGGATACCCTTGGACTCGGCGTACTCGAGAAGGGCAGAACGGCCGGCGAAGCGGTTGAAGAACTCGGGGATACGCCATGGGGCGATGACCTTGATGTCAGGCTTGAGGCCATAGAAGGCGAGTTCGAATCGGACCTGGTCGTTACCCTTACCAGTGCAACCGTGCGAGACGTACTGGCAGCCAGTCTTCTCAGCTGCCTCGATCATGCCACGGGCGATGACGGGACGGGCGAGCGAGGTACCGAGGAGATAGACATCCTCGTAGATAGCGTTGGCCTGAACAGCGGGGAAAATGAGCTCCTCGATAAACTCTCGCTTCAGGTCAGCAAGGATAAAATCTTTGGCACCGCACTTGAGGGCCTTTGACCTGGCGGCTTCAAAGTCCTCCTCCTGACCGACGTCAGCCATGAATGCGATGACATCGTATCCTTCGTCAATGAGCCATGCGAGAATGGTGGAGGTGTCTTTTGGATTGCGCCACGTGAGCAGAAGCAAAAAGCAGCATCATCGTACGACATCGAATGACGATGCGCACCATCAAGAAAACAATGACAGTGATGGCGTCGCAGATGATGACAATGTTGAACAACAGCGAAAGGAGGGGATCCGCAGAGGCCAAGTAGCGTAAGATCGATGCATCGGGATAGGCATTCAGAAGAAACGAGGCGGAGGAGCGCCGAAGATTTGGAATTTTTTCCCCCCAAAAAAAATTCGAAAAAAAATCGAGTCACCCGATTGGCCCGCACACCACCAAAAGTCACAGATATTAAAGAGGGAAGCAGAAACGATGAGGAGGTAGTGGCAAAGTCAGTGATGGTGTCGCCGACAATAAGGGTCGGTGCAGGGGCCAAGTACTGGCGGTGAACAGCTGTCAAACAAGGCTCGAACCCCGCAATTGTAGCTCCAACAGAGGGCTACCGGAATGATTCCCGGACTACTTACCGAGTCCACCAGAGTAAGCCAAAAGCACCTTGCCGGTCTGTCCTGGCATGTTGTTCACTTGTTTTCGAGTGTGTTTGGTGTGTTGAAGCTCGTATAAGAGAGGAAACGACGAGCGAGGTAAATTAAGATCGATTGCGAGGGTAAGTCGATACGTTGATGCTGTGTGAGAGGTTAATGGTAGTGGTTGGGCAAGTGGTACAGAAACAAGACTGCTCGCACTGATAAGGGCTTCTTCTGTCCGCTCGAGCCACGGAAACGGACGCGTTCCCACAAGTTCGCTCACCCTTTTCCGTTCAATTAGCCAGACGTTTGGAGTCTGAAGTTACTTTGCATCACACTGATTAAGTGCCGAAAGGTGCCAATTTTCCCCAAATGGCCGCCTCTGCACGTCTGACTCGTTTCACGAAAATTCTCGTATCTGGTTGGTCCGAACATATTTCTCAATCAAAAAGAAATGTCTTTTTCTAGAGATCCTTCTTCTTTGGTCCAACACTTCAACACGTTTGCTTTTTTAGATCTTGGAGCATGTTGATCTTGACTTGGTGCACAGAATGCCATCAAGGACGCCTTGACAGCACTGTCGAGTAGCTTGGTCTG